GCCTGTGCACTGATTGCGTCTGGCTCTCTGTACTGTATTATTGCTGTAATAAACAGTAGATGATTGTTCACAGGGTGTGGAAACACAAGTTCAAGGCCCTGTCTAAGTTGCAGTTTAACTACAGTCCACTGTGTTTCTCAATTCCTACTTAAAACAGTTTCTTAAGTCATATTGGTTAAGTTGGAGAAAGCAAACAAACAAATATACGGAGACATTCACCAAAGCACTGTTTTCAGTGGTGAAGAATCGGAAATAACTTAAATGACCATTAAATAGCTGAGGTTGAAGTTGATGGTTTGTGTCTGTAACCCTAGCGCTTGTGCTGACGGCGGGGGGATCAGGCTTGAAGACCACATTTCAAGCCTGGGCTACGGGAGACCTTGTCTCAACCAAAGGGAAATAGGAGCAACCGTGGGGGGGGGGGGGCAGTGGTCATGGCGCCAAGACTGAGTTCTGTGTATCGTGGAAGACAACTGCCAAGATTGACGCCGACATCTGTGTTGCTAGGTTGAGGAGATATTTCTTCCCTGGGCGCCCCTGTCAGTCTCCTGCTTCTGTCTGTTCCTTGCCGTTCTCCTAACTTCGTCCTCTTTGAACTGCTAAGGGTTAAGTTGCCAGCACTGAGCTCTGGGTATCTTCTTGCACTATCCACTCTGCATATGTCAATCCTCAGATGGCCCTGTGTGGGTGACCAAGGCCTCCATGTTGGTGGCTAGCTCTTGAGTCTCTCCTGAGCTCAGATGTCTGTGTCTAATTGCTCCCGCCTGGATGAGCAAGATGTGCAAACACATATTAAATGTAATAATTACAGCAGCCACCACTGGACTCTCAACACGGCTGACAGTGAACGCTTGATTTTTCGTGATTTCTCTCCGACTTAGAGTTATCGGTGCTGGGCCGGAACACCATGACCAAAGCAGCTTGGGGAGGAAAGGGTTTATCAGCTTACAGTTCCACATCACTGTTCATCACTGAAGGAGTCAGGGTGGGAATTGAAACAGGGCAGGAACCTGGGGCAGGAGCTGACGCAGAGGCCGTGGAGGGGACTGCTTACTGGCTTGCTCCTCATGGCTGGCTCAGCTTGCTTTCTTATAGCACCCGGGACCACCAGCCCAGGGATGGCACCACCCACAATGAGCTGGGCCCTCCCCCATCTGTCACTAATTAAGAAAATACTCTACAGGCTGCCTACAGCCTGATCATGCGTTTTCTCAGTTTCGGGTCCCTTCTCTCAGATAACGCTAACTTGTGTCAAGTTGACAGAATTACCCAGCGCAGTTCCCAGAGCTGCTCCCTTCAGAATTCCCCTCACAGCAAACGTTATTTCCATTGATTTATTTTAGAAACCTGAGACTAGGTTTTTTTGTTTGTTTCCTTGCTTGTTTTGTTTTGTTTAGACAGGGTCTCACTGTGTAGCCATGGCTGTCCTGGAACTCAGAGACCCATCTGCCTTCACCTCCGGAGTGCCAGGCTTAAGGCTGTGTGCCACCAGCACCGGGCTTTGAGGCGCACTCATGGCTGGCTTTTCTGCTTCTCTCCCGCCTTTCATTGGCAGCTGTTGGCTACATCTCTGAACTGCAAGTCCATCCACCATTCTCCTCCAGTGCTGCCACCCTGGGCAGGTCAACAGTGCTGCCCACTACTAAGGACGGTCCTAGTTCCAGGCCCCACCAGGCTGTTCTCTACATGCCAGAACACTTTAAGATTGAGTTATTTTTTATTTTCTATTTTGCCTGCATGTGTGTGTGTACCATGTGTGTGCCTGGAAAGCCAGGAACAGGCATCGGATCACCTGGAAGTGAGTTAAGGTTTGTCGTGAGCTCACTTTGTTCATTTTGGATTTTTTAATTTATTTATCTTTATTTTCTGTACATTGGTGTTTTTCCTGCATATGTGAGGGAGTCGGATCCCCTGGAACTCTCGCTATAGACCAGGGTGGCCTCACTCTTACAGAGATCCGCCTGCCTCTGCCTCCCTGAGTGCTGGGATCAAAGGAGTGTGCCTCCATCCTGGAAGCCTCAATTTTGATTCATTTTGTTTTAGGCAGTGTCTCATATAGCCCGGGTTGGCCTCCAGCTCATTCTATAGCCAAGGATGACCTTGAACTTCTGCTCCCCCTGCCTCCACCTCCCCAGGGCTGGAGTCACAAGGGTGTGGCATCAGCTTTGGCTCATGGTGCCCTGGTACCGCACAACCCTGGGCTTTGTGCGGGCTTAGGCAAGCTTTCTGCCTGAGCTTGACTCTCAGCCCTAGTCTGGCTCTTTATTAAGTTGTTTTCTTGTCCCAGGTTTGTTGAGCACCGGGCAGGAGGACAGCGACAGCGCTGCCTACACGCTGAGCTGTTCATTAACAGTCGGTTCTTTTTCTCTGATGGACTCAGTACTGTAGGTGTATGTATTGTTTAGAGTTCTTTCTCTTTTCCCTCTCAGAGATCAAATCCAGGGGTTTACAAGGGTTAAGCAGGAGCCACACTACAACCCTGTATGGTGTTGTTCAAATTAATATATAGAAGGTTCTTTATCACACTGATTGGTGAATGCATGAGTGTGTACCCACGGGATGTTTTCCAAGGTGCACATGTCACAGCATACACACAGAGCTGGCACCCTTTGGGAGGAGGCTGTCTTCTTTTACCGTGTGAAACCTGGAGCCTGAATGTGTCAGGCTTGGCAGCGGGCACCTTTACCAACTGCGCCGTTAGCCGGCCCAGCTGGGGCGCTTCCGTGTGTGAGTTGCAGGGTGTCTGAAACGGGAATTGTGTCAGCTTTGGCTCTTCTCTGTCTGTCTTCCTTCCTTCCTTTCTGTCTTCTTTCTGTCTCCTCTCCCCCTCCCCATATTTTAGAGAGGGCCTCACGTAACCCACGCTGGCTTTGAACTCAAGACAATCTTCTTACAGGCTGGAGATTAAGCTCAGCTGTAGGCAGCTTGCTCCGTAAGCTCGAGGGCCTGGATTTGCTTCCCGTCTCGGCCTCCCGAGTGCTGGGATAAAGATCTGTGCTATCACATGCAGTTGTTTTCTTCTTCTTTTACGTTTTTCCCTGGTGTTTGGGACATAGTGGACACCAGGAACTATTTCTTTTGCTTCCCTTCCTCTCCCTTCACTTCCTTCCTCCCTCTTTTCCTCTCTTCTTTTTCTGGTACCAGGAATTAAACTCAGACTCTGTGTGTGCAAGGCAGGCTATACACACTCACCCCTCTCTCTTCTCTCCCTCTCTCTCCCTCGTGTTTTGCCTGTATGTGTGTCTGTGTACCATGTGCATGAAGTAGCCCCAGGAGGCCAGAAGGGGGCATCAGATCGTCTGGGGCAGACGCTGAAGCCAGTGCTCTGAGCGTCTCTCCAGCCTCTCATCCTTTTTTAAAAGCTGCCTTTAACCCCCAGTCCTTCTCCCTCAGCTTCTGTGGTGCCTGGAAATACTTATTTCATTTTGTGTTTTGTTTTGTTTTTTATTGTATAATCTGGATATTAATCCCTTGTTAGGCATGTGAGTTCCAAATGTTATCTTCCATTCTATGGGAACCTTTGACTCTATGATACTGTTCTCTGGTGCACACAAGTCTTTATTTTTGTTGAAATCTAATTCAACTATTTTTATTTGGCTGCTTGATCTTTTGATATCATATCTAAGACGTCAATGTCTTAGCTGGATTTGGTGGGTATGTATCTGTTCTACTGGGAAGGCTGAGGCAGGAATGGGTCAACTATCAAAGCCAACCTGGGGTCTACAGTTAATTTCTATTTTTATAAAGAAGAAGGGAGCCAGGCGCAGTGGCACAAATCTTTAATCCCAGCACTCAGGGAGGCAGAGCCAGGTGGATCTCTGTGAGTTGGAGGTCAGCCTGGTCTACCTATAGAGTTCTGGGCCAGCCAGGACTACATAAAGAGACCCCGTCTCAAAAAATCAAACCAACCAAACAAACAAACAAACAATAAAAACAGTCATGACCCCATATACCCGTAACCCCAGAGCAGGGAAGAGCAGAGAAGGAACTGTCGCTGGCTCGCTTACTCCGAGTTCAGGGAGAGACCTTTTCCGAGGGAAAAGGCAGAAAGCGATAGATGAAGACACGCAGTGTCCTTTCGTGGCCTCAGTGCCCGCTCTCGTGGGGATGTGCACCGCGGCCCACATGCATACATCCCCCTCAGATGAAGAGGTGAAAACCCCACGCCATCAAGTTTGTGTAAGCGAGCTGCGTGACTGTGTCTTTCATATCTGTTTCTTAGCTTGGCCTAAGTTCAGGCATTGCCGACAGTGGGACTACATCACAGACATGGGCCAAGAGCAGCTCAGATTTCGGAAATGTCACTCGGTGTGAGGGTCTGTGCATTAGAGTTCATGGAACCCTGTTTTTAGTTAACTAATTCCAATTGGTTTTTTTGGTTTTGTTTGTTTGGTTTGTTGTTTTAGATTTATTTATTATATATACAGTAGTCTGCATGCCAGAAGAGGGCTTCAGATCCTAGTACAGATGGTTATGAGCCACTATATGGATGCTGGGAATTGAACTCAGCACCTCTGGAAGAGCAGCCAGTGCTCTTAACCTCTGAGCCATCTCTCCAGGCCCTGATCTGGTTTGGTTTTGAGACAGGTCTCATGTAGTACAGGTTGGACCTAAACTCATAAAGTATCTGGTTCAAGGATGACCTTGAACCCCTGACCCTCCTGTCTTGACATCCAGTTTGTACAGTGCTGGGGATGGAGTCCAGAGCTTTGTGGGTGCGGCACACCCCCCCGGCCTGCTGACCTCCATCTGCAGCCCTTGCCCTGCGCAGTTGTTTCTCACATTCGACCTCCTCCTCATGAATCACCTGTCAGGTCAGAGCATGGGACTGTCCCGAAGGCCCCATGAAGAGTGGAGCTGCTCTGATTCCCTGCCTTTGCCAAGAGCGTTGAAGACAAATGCTCGCAGGAACAGGTGTGCAAAATGGTGTTCTAAAAACGGAGAGAGTAAAAGTAAAGCTTAATTTGAAGATATCTTTTTTTTTTCTCCCTTCTCTGAAGGTACCAGAAAGCAGCTGAAGAGGCCAACATGGAAAAGAAGAAAAATGTAAGTACTCAGCAGCCCCAGGGCAGGTGGAACTTAAGCAGTCCCTGTGGCCAGGCCACCTGCCCCTGTGTGTGGCTTGGGCTCCATGTCAGCTGAGCTAGGCATTTGTGCCAGCGTGTGTGGTGTGCAAGCCATTTGCTGGGAGACGTTGGCTTGGGTTCAGGGAATCCTATTTTCAGTGTTTTGCTATTGAAACAGCTGCCCCCCCTTTTTTTTCTAGCACTGAGGAAAGGATAGAAGGCCGAGTGCTTTCTAAGTTAGTAAAATGACCAAATGAGAGCAGCTGAGAGGAGAGCTGGTGCCCCCCCTTTCCCCACACGAAGGGGTGTGCGTTCAAAAGGAAGCCTGGCAGCTGTGCCCTCGGCTGGATTCCCGGCTTGAGCCTGACCCCGTCTAGTTAGCAAGTCCCGCAGGGGCCAGGTCCGTTGAGCCGCGTGCCAGCCTGTCTTCTCTCCCCGGTCTGCCAGCCTGTCCTCTACTCTCCCCGCTCTGACTCTCTGTGTGCCCAGGCTGACTCTGAACTTATGGGCTAAAGAGGCCCCTTGGGACCGTTCCCTGTGGCTTTGCTCTCTCTGGAGAGCAGTGATAACTAGGTCTCCAGCTCAATCTCCCTGGGGTTTGAAAGCCGAGCTCCCCTGTACATGAGTAGAGAAAGCATTTGAGTGTGGTGATTCGTGCCAGTAATCCTAGCACCTGGGAATCGGAAGCAGGAGGATTGCTGCTAGTTTGAGGCCTACCTGAGCTACATGATGAGTTCTAGACCAGCCTTGCCTGCAGTGTAAAAGCCTGTCGATAAATAAAATAATGATGAAAAAATTTTAATTTAAAAAAACAAACCCTGTCAAAACAAAAACAGAACAAGAGAAAAGGCAACATGATCTACCCAGCAGCCAGTTGCTCTCGCCTTTTCTCTCCTGCCTGTTTCCCTACTTCCTCTGTTTTTTCTTTTACTTGTTTCATTAACAAGTTTTTTTGTAGGGCACCTACTAGGTGCTAAACCGTAGACTCTAAGACTCTGGACTACATCTTCTCAGGAACGCTCATTCTAGTGGAAGAAATAATGACAGAAAAAGCCAGGCAGAGACTGTTGGCTCAAGGGGCTGCAGAGGGAATTGGGGTGTGGCCTCTCTTCTGGAACCTGTTAGGTAACCCAGATTTGAGGTCAGTGCCAAGGAGAGGAAAGATTCAGGCAGAAAGAGCGTCGTATGCAGATATCCGGGAAAGCGGAGTTGGTGTACTTGAGGATTAGAAAGAGAAAGTTCTGCAGGATCTGTGGGAAGATTGGAGCGCTTGCTCTGACGTGAGAGAGGACTTCAGGGAAGTGTGCAGAGGACTGATGTGACCCAGCTTACGCTGCTGAGGAGCAAAGAGGAGCGAAGGACAGTGTTGGGCTGGAAACGGAGTCCGGTTGGCCAAGGGCTCATCTAGCTCTGTGAAGCCCTGGGTTTGGTCCCAGTGCAGAGAAAACCAGGTGTGGAAATGCCCAACTGGGGAATCTGAAATTCAGGGTTATTCTTAGCTGCAGAGTGAGTTCAAGGCCAGCCTGGGCTATGTGTCGAGACTGTCTGAAAGGAAACAATTGTAATGATTTAGAAAAGAAATTATGAACTGCTTGGCATGGTTATGCACACCTTTAATTCCAGTAATTGGAAGGTAGAGGCAGGCAGATCTCTGTGAGTTCAAGGCCAGCCTGGTCCACAAAGTAAGTATAGCCAGTCCACAAAGTATAGCCCAGTCCAGGACAGCCAGGGCTATACAGAGAGACCCTGCCTCACCCCCAAAAACACCCCATTCAGTGGCACTTGTATGAGGTGCGTGGTTTAAGGGTTGGAAGGAGGAGGCGGGGGGGGGGGCAGTGGAAACAGCAGGATGACAGAGAAGTGGCTCTTTTATATCTTCCTGTCTTCTCACTGTGTCTTCCTGAGATGTGTGCCGTGCACACCCGGCCATGCCCACCCATCTCCGCACATCCAGCCGCGTGCACCCAGCCATGTCCACAGCCATGCACCCAGATTCTGGCTCCTGCTTTTCTGGCACCTGTCAGCCTAGGGATTTCTTCCCTCCGTGCCATCTGTGTGTGCAACCCCGCCACTTTGGCACGTGTTCCGTCTCAGAGTAGACGCTTTCTGCCAGTCTTTCCGAATTGCTGGTACCCGGCGTACCCCACTTCTACCCTGAGCTGTCCAGCCAGGAGCTGGGCTCGATCCCCGGTCCCCAACCCTGTCTGATTCCTACACGACCCAGCCAATCGGCCGCACTGCTCTCTTGGCCTCCACTCTCGGCTCCCTTCTCCTCTTGCCTCCTGGCTCCCGTCTTTCCTCTCTCTCCTTCCCCCTCTCCTCACACGACCCTGTTCCATTCGCTGGGCATGTTCGGTCTGGACTCTTCCAGATGCCTGGCTGCATTCTCCCAGCGCCAGCCCCCGAGGAGCAGTCACACCCTCCTGTTAGTCAGCTTAGAGACTTGCTCTCTGGCCATGGCTGCCTTTGTTTTGAACTGTCCACAGACAGTGTCTTGCTCCATAGCACAGACTCTTGCTTCAACCTTCCAGTCACTGGCATGCAACCACTGTGCCTGGCTCCTCTTCTGGCATCATTCCTTTATCTTATTTATTTGCTTTTCTTTCTTTTTTTGAGATATGACTCAGCCCTCCTCAGCCTCCCAAATTCTGGGATTACAGGCTTCGCCACCATGCCTATCTTCACAATGTTTCACATAGCCAAGGCTGGCCTTCAACTCTCTAAGCAGCTGAAGCTGATCTTAAATTCTCCTCATCCTCCTGCCTCAGCCTCTGCCAAGGCTGGAGCTACAGGTGTGTGCTGCCACACCCAATCCTCTATCTTTTAAAATACTGACCTCCCTGACAGGATTTCCACATGATATAGCTCGCTGGCCCAACATCTTCATCTCACAGACAGGAGAGAAGCGACTGAGTTCTGGCCCCTGGAGGCCGGATGGTCTCACAGGAGGGCACCCTGTGCCTTCCTCTGGGTGACCTCAGGCTTGCTGAGTACAGCGGATCTGAGGCAAGGAGCTGCTGCAGAAAAGAGGCTCTGGAAGCGAAGCAGCCACTGGGGCCCTTGAACACTCGGGGCCCTGGTGGCTTGCCGGTGACTTAGGAAAAGCCAGAACCTCGACAGGAACGGCGGCAACCAGGGCTTGACCTTAATCTGGGCTGTTTAACCCCTCTTCAGATAGAGAACAGAAAGAAGGACCTGGAGCCCAGGCTTGACCGCGGGTGTGCAGAGCCGTGTCATTCTTCTGCGTTTGCTGTTGCAAAAATGCGTGTTTGCATGTGTGTCCCGGGGATGGATCCAGGCCCCACACACTCTGGGAAAGTTTCTCTTAGCTTCATCCTCAGCCCTTTATCCCATTTCAGTCTGAGACAGGGTCGTGCTGAGTTACCCAGACTCGCCTTGAAGTCACTCTGTAGCCCAAGGAGGCCTTTTTAACTTGTAACCGTCTTGTGTTAGCCTCCTTGGTAGCTGGGGTTACAGGCCTGTGCCATCAAGCCTGGCAGTACCCATTTGATAATGCTACTACCACTTACCAGAAGCCTACCGATGTCAAATGCTATATTACATATATCAATGAGGCTCACAGATAAAGGGCACAGTAGCCCTCTATAATAGTTTATAGAAACTGAAAAACAAACGTGTCCAAATTTGATTGGTTAGATGGGGTAAGACTATGCAGATCCCACATGTGAACTGTTATATAAAGAATACAGAGCAAGAAAAGAAGTAGGTTATCTGTGTAAACAATTACCCCACGGTAACCGCGGGCCTCTTGATCCAACGTTCTTTCATTTTTGGCTTCATCCGTTCTTTCTGTTCTGTAGTTCTCTTCCCTGTCTTGGCTCGTCTCTAGTCCTGAAGATGTGGGCGGAGGGTTGCCGTGGCCTGGGTGGCTCTCCCAGGGGTGAGAGCCCTGGTGAGAACCCCCCTCTTCAAGGCGTGGGGTCTTTAATGGTGTCACGCCTCACCGTCTCGTGCTTCCCCTCTGTCTCACCTCAACGCTCTCGAAGCTGCACCTTTAAGAGCCCATCCTCTTTTATGTGTTCTGATTGGGGTGTGTGTGAGCTTGTGTGTGTGCATGTATGTTTGTACGTGGGCACACAGGTACATGCGTGTGGAAGGGAGAGCAACCTTAGGTGTTGCTCCTCCTGAGGCACCACACACTTGGTGTTTTGAGGTAGCATCTCCATGGCTGGCCTGGCGCCCACCAGCTAGGCTAGCCTGGCTGGCCAGCAAGCTCCAAGCACCTCCCTGTCCTGCCCTCCTGGCACTAGCGTCACACGTGTGTGTCACTATGCTCGGCTTTCTGGTTTGTTTTTGTTTCTGTTTTTTGAGATATAGTCTCACATGCTAGCTAAAAACTTGTGGTCCCCCTGCCCCAGCCTCCAGAGTGCTGGGATTACAGTCCTTCTCTTCCTTGCCTAGCACGAGTTCCTTTTTGCTTAATTAAATTTATTTCTGAAAAATTTGCCAATAAAAAAATAACAAGCACTGAAATTAATGAGCCCCAAAGTCTGTGTGTGTCAATGAAATGCTACACAGACAGAATAACCATTCCAAAGATGCAGAGCCTCGCATTGGATCTCACCCTCTGACTATCGATATATCTTTATGCACTTACCCACCACCAAAAAGGAAAAACCATGATACAGTTAGGACTAGAAAAACAATATGCTTTATGCTACTAGTAGCTATTTCAGGGGGTGGGGTCAGAATGCAGGTAACGGATGCAGCAGAGATGAAGCAGTTTTGAATAAAGGAGGATTCGCACACCCCCTGAAGGCGCTCTCTAAAGGATGTCTTCCGTCCAGCCACATCTGGGACACTGCTAGTCCTCCACCAGCCAACCCCCTCTGTGCCTGTTCCTCGTAACAGAGAGGAGAGTTTCACTCTGCTAACGGGAACAGCAGCTTTATTTAGTTCTCACTTTGGCTTTGTTCTCACACTTGTTATTATAAACATGTACTTATTAGAAAAGGAGGCATACGTGCTGTAAGTCATTCTTTAGGGAGAGAGCTCAGTAAAGTGCTGGCCTTGCAGACATGGGGATCTGAGTTCGATCCCCAGAATCTATGTTTAAAAAAAGCAACGGGCCGTGGGAGCACTCACTTGCAATCTCATCTCTGGGAAGGCTGGGATAGGAGAATTCCCGGGGCTCGGGGTTCAGCCAGTGTCCAAGCTTACTGACTGAGTTCCAGGGGAAAGAGAGACATCTTTAGAAAAAAGTTAGGTAGTACCTGAGGAGTGACACTTGAGGCTGTCTTCTGCTGTCTTCTGGCCTCCACACACGAACACATGTGTGCACGCGCGCACACAAACATGCGTGCACATAAATAAATAAGCTGTAAACATCTTAATGACTCCTGGACCACTTTTCTGTGCTCATAATTATGTTCACTCATAATGTAAAATGAGATCTTCCTGACTTATAATTTGCTTTTTTTTTTTTTTTTCTTAATTGAAAAGCATCTTTCTAAGTCAGTAAAAATACAGTGATCTGTGGGGTGTGTCTGAGAAGAGTGGGGTTGGGGCACCGAAGCAGCCGTGGCTCTGCCTCTCAGGGCTCCCGTGCAAGCCAGCCAGGGCAGGCGAAGGTGGAGCCCTGGGCGATTCATCCAGTCTGTGGCAGGAGGCCATAGCTCTGCTGGCTGCTCTAGCTTTGGGGGACATCTCTCGTTTGTTTCTCTTTTTTGACTCACCTGTGTTGTGCAGGTGAGTCTGAAACACCGGGGGCTCAAGCAATTCCCCAGCTGCTACCTCCCGACACACGTAATTGGGAAACTGGGATTGGTGCCGTCACGCCTGGCAGGAGCCTTTTGTGTTCCTTTTGCCTCTGTCTGGGTGTGCAGCCTCTAGCCAGTGGTTTTTCTGTAACCCTGGCTACCCCCGCCTCACTGCGCCTCGCTGAAGTGACTGTCCCCGTGTTCAGGAGAGTGTGAGTGAGAGACCTAATTCCCAATATAGCTGCTAATCCTGCTAATTCCCTGAGGTCCTCCTCCGGTCCTCAGAGGTCTGTCCTCTCTTTAAGCCTGTTGAGATCCTGAGGACTCAGAGAGCAGGAATGAAAGTAGGAAGGTACTGGCGGCTGGAGGCGGTTGGTTCGTTTAGGACTTTCAAGGCAAAGGATGCTTAATTTTACCTCAACAGACATGTTTTCCACTGTTATTCTACAGCAACACGACAATTTGCAAGTTGTTTTCAATCTGTTGGATCAGTTCTTATTGTTTTGTTTTGCCTTTCGAGACAGGATTTCTCTGTGTCTCCGTGGCTGACCAGACTGGCCTCGAACTCGCAAAGATCCTCCTGCCTCAGCCTCCCGAGTGCTGGGGTTGCAGGTGTGCGCCATCATGCCCGGCTCTGCTTTATCATTTTTGACCCTCTTCGGTGTGTGTGTAAATGTGTGTCCTGTGAGTATCAGAGCGGGCGGTGGTTCTCTTTTCTTATGAGGCCCATGTGTTTCTCCGCCAGAGGATCTGCAAAATGATGAATTTTCCAAGATGGCTACAAATTAGATATAGATAAAAAACAGAGAGGGGAACGGAGGAAAGATTAGATTATTATGCAGAAATAAAATCTGAGGGCTGGGATTGCTGCTCAGTGGTAGAGCATTTGCCAGCCATGCACAGGGTCCCTGTCGACCCAGGAAAAACATGTTTTTGTGCGTGTAAGTTCTGTCAGCTGCACAGTAATGCCACCCATGCAAAAATGGTAAGTCTCTACGTTTTATAGAAAAGGCAAGTTCTTGACATTAATCTCCATAATCATAATTGGAATTGCATAGGTACCGAATCTTTGTCTTGTTTTTTGTAAGGAAAAAATTTCTAGCATGGATACTCTTATACTTTGTGGCATACCTAGGTGAACTTTTATTCAAGTGTAGTTAGTTACAAGGCTGAAGGTACCTAGCAGTCTGCGTTTTCTTCTTGCTTTCCGGGTGAGTCTTGGGAGGGGAAAAAAAAAAACCCTCTTCTTTCCGATGTAAGGACAGGAGATCCAGGCTGTCCACACTGCTCACTTTGTCCTTATAAGGCTATCCTGTTTTATCACTTCCTGCTTCAGCTCCTGGCTTTTTCCCTCTTCCCCTCTCCGGGCCCTGGCTGGATGCTCCAGCCCTGCGGCCGGGCAGCAACTGTTCCGCAGCTGTGAGCCAGCCGTGCGCCAGGCGCGTCTTGGAGTCTCAACTTTCATTTTACGAAGACGCGTGTTTGGCTGTTGCAGAAGGCAAGTTATAACTGGTACTTACTTCTCGTTCTCCTAGAACACTGAAAACCTCCCCCAGCACTTTAGAAGAGGGGCCCTGTCAGTGCTGAGAAAGAAGTGGGAGAGCCCCGTGGCCGGAGCGGAGCCCCACACAGACACATTGCCGGGCATCAGCAGAGAGGGGGGCCTCACGCCAGATCACCCCCCTGCCGAGGGGACCCACAGCACTTCTTCTGGAGCCAGAGCTGACCAGGAAGAGCAGACCCAGCCCAAGCCTAGCCTTGGGTCTCATCCGGAAGCCGCCCTTCAGTGTCGGCATCCCTGCTCAGAGGACAGCCAGGATCGGAAAGCCACAGAAAGTCAGAAAATGGAAAATTGTCTGGGAGATTCCAGGCATGAAGTAGAGAAAGCTGAGATAAGTGAAAACACGGAAGCTTCGGGCAAAATAGAGAAATACAGTGTTCCACTGACCAGACTGAAGATGATGTTTGAGAAAGGTGAACACACGGCAGCCAAGGTAAGAGCTGGGCGGGTGTGGAGTTCCCTCCTGGAAACCCGTGCTGACAGGGTCTGGTTTTCCAAGCCTGGTCAGCTGGACAGAGTAGAATGTGTGGTCAGTGTGTCTTCTGATTCGAGTTCCGTTAGCAAAAGCCTCAAATGAACTGTTTCCACGGTTGCTGAGATGTGATCACCCCCCCCCCCATCTCATGTCAAGTCTAGCTCATTCTGGGATGTGGCTCAGCACCTAAAAACTGAAAATGAAAAGAGCTGGACACTGATGGGACCGTGTGCTCCCACACACTTACCCTTTTAATTTGTCTTCCTGTGTCTTTTGTAGCCCTGGGGGTGAAATGGCTGCTGGACTCACTATCGCTCGGACACAGCTGCAGACTGAGCACTCAGGCCAGAGCTGAGCATTGAGACTGAGGCTCAGTGTCTCAGGGCTAGCTGAGCCCCTTCCCTTCTCTTCTTGCTCATCTGTGCCTCCCAACAAATGTTTTTTATCAGCCAGACTCCTCTCCCAGGAAAAATCCCTGCTGAGAGCCGGACCAGTGTAGCTTTCAGGAGTTTTGACTTGCAAATGCACAGGGTTGCATTTTCCTGCATCTGCTAATGAAATTTGATCCTTCATGTGGATTGCACACCAAATCCCCAGAGGGAATTACTTAACTAGAAAATGAGTTGCATATGCTCCTGCCTTCCAGCACACTCCAGGGCAGCAGAGCCGGTCAGTTTTTCCAGTTCTCTCATACTTTCCTACGTATCTGGCGTTGTACACGGAATGGTTTGTTACAAGGGCCCTCATAATGAAATAAACAGATCTGACGGGTAGCAAAGCCATCATTTACTTAAGATTCCAACTACACGGAAAAGCTGTCTTTTCTTAAGCTAAATATTTGGCCCAGATTCCTGTATTGGCGAAGTAATGGTGTGAAGCACTCCTCCTGAGATAACGAAAATAGATAATTCATCGTGGAATCCTGGAACCCTGGGTTATGTAAGGAGAGGTGCTGCCGGTTCCTTCCAGGAACTCCCAGGACAGCTGCCTTTTTTTTTTTTTTTTTTTTGATAGAATCCTTTTGTGTGTGCTTTAGCTGCATTAATGCTGGAAGCAATTGGCAAGAGATGGAACCACAAAGCAGTTTTAAACTCCCCTCTCAACTTTTTTAGTTCCCTGGGCCTGCCAACTCCTTTTTTCTCCTTTATGGTCTTAATTAAAAAAAAAAAAAAAAAAAAAATTTAAATGGGAAGAAGAATTTTAAATAGAAATGAAAAAAATGCAAGCAATCCTAAATAGAGAGGAAGGGGCATTGCTGGGACTCAAAGCACTATTGTAAGCCTCCTCCCAGACCCCGCCAGGGGTGGGAGGGCTGACGTCACGCAGCGCACACACTGTGGATTCAGTGTGAAGTGCTTGCACGTGTCAGAACTGGCCCAAGGTAGGAAATGAGTGGGACAGCAGCAAACGAAAATGCTGATGATATATAAGACAGTTTTTCTCGTAAATGCCTAGTGAGAGATGGGTCATGACAAGCCCATTTAAAGAAATAGTCAAAGTGGTGGGGTGGGGGACAACCCGCCATAGGAAGAGCAACCGTTAGCCAAGCATGGTGACGATGACTCACCCTCACGAGCTTAGCGCTCAGGGGGCTGAGGCGAGCGAGCTGCAGTTCCCCTGACCCTGCAAGGGGAAGGAAAGGCAGGAGGAGGGTGGGAAAGAGGAAGGTCCTCCTACCTTGTGGCTAAACTCACTGGAAAATGAATAGGTTCTGAGATTCCCCTGAACTTTTTAGGCCTGTGTGTGTGTGTGTGTGTGCGTGTGTGTGTATGTATGTGCGCGTGCGTGCGTGTGTGTGTGTGTGTGTGTGTGCCTCTATTATTTCCCAAATTAAATAGTCCTTTGACACTTGGCTTTAAAACTGTTTCAGAACAAGCATCACCATCACGTAGGAAATTATGAATTCCTGTAAAAAGTTTTGACCAGGGCTGAGACTATAGTTTAGCGGTGTGTGTGCCTAGCATTTTCGAGGCTGCTCAGTCTCTAGAACCACACACACATACTTTGTTACGTTTTGATGTGTGTGTTTGGGTATTTGGTTGTGTGTTTGAGAGAGGGTCTCATTGTATAGCCCTAGCTAGCTCTGGACCTTACTTCGTACACTAAGCTGGTCTCTAGCTCACAGAGATACTCCTGCCTCTGTTTCCCTAGTGTTAGGGTTCAAAGTATGTACCGCTGTGCCTGGCTGTTTAGTCCAATATTTCAGTCAAGCTGTTAGGAGATTTTGTCTATTTTGGATTGAAGAACAACCAGTCTGTTTGCAATTAGACTGTGACTATGGCTGGCACTGTTTTGTCTTTAGCACACAGAAGAGGCTTTGGTCAGAAGCTACATGTGTGAGTATCTGGGTCTGAGAAGTGAGGGGCACTAGATCCCTCTCAGGGTAAGACTGTGTAACTGTAGCTCAGAACCGGTCAGTGACAGCTACAACAAATATAAGACTCGTCCTACAAAGACAGCGCTCAGGAATGTCAGGCCAGCCTGGAGCCTGGACCCTACAGTGAGACCCAGTCTGACAATAAGCCAGATCCCAGAAAGGATGAGGGTGTTTTCTTTAGTTCCACATAACAGTGAGCTGTGGTGGCACACATGTGTTGCTGCTGTGACGTGAGCCCTGTGAGAGGGCGTGAGCACCAAGCCGAAGCCGGCGTCACGGAAACAGTTTACACAGCCTTCTTGGCAGTGGGCGTATTTTATTAGATGTGTTTATTTCCTGTGTAGAGTGCTTTGCCTGCGTGTGTGTCTCTGCACCATGCACAGGCCCACAGAGGCCAGAAGAGGGCGTCAGATCCCCCAGAACCGGAGTAGGGATGGTTGTGAGCCTCTCTGTGGGAGCTGAGAACCAAACCCAGGGTTTTGTTTTGTTTTGTTTTGTTTTGTTTTGTTTTGTTTTGTTTTGAAGCAGTCCCAGGTAGCCAGGCTGGCCTTGAGCTCTTTCTGCTCCCGCCTCCTCCAGGGAATACTGATGTCCATCACCACATCTGCTTTCACACACCTACTAAACCCCTTTTTTCACTGAGTTACTAGTCACCACGTGGGAGCATGGTAACTGATTTCTCACGGCAGCTACACATTTCTTGTCACGATAACGGCTTCGTGCAATCCTGCAGACTCTTGTGGGGAGACAATGGCAGGTCTAGATGTTCGGGTGCCCCCTGGGGAATCCTGATACTGTTCACGGTTTTTCGCCCCGAGTGGCTGTTGTCGCTTACCAGCCAGAGGTCAGTCACCTCCTCTGCTTCATGCCAGTTAGCTGCTTCCTACTTCCAGCCAGTTCCGTTTCAGTCACACATGCTGAAACGCAGTGTCGAGAGTGCCACGTGACACGCGTGTCTGTGGGGCTCAGTCTGGACTTGGGTGTCACAGACCCTGCAGGGCATGGCCGTCTCCCTCCGCCTCTGGATGCCCGGAAGCGCTCAGAAGCGCCTGTCCGTGGCATCTCTAGCAACCAGGGTGAGCCGAAGATGCTATAAGTGCTATCATTATCCACACACATATCTCTATTTTGTTGTTTTCTTGTCTTTTGGTTTTTTTGTGGGTTTTTTTTTTGTTTGTTTGTTTGTTTTTTTGGTGATGGTGGTAGTTGTGTGTGTGTGTGTGTGTGTGTGTGTGTGTGTGTGTGTGTGTGTGTTTTGATTTTTTTTGAGACAAGATTTTTCTGTATATCCCCGGCTGACCTGGAACTCACTCTAGACCGGGCTGGCCTTGAACTCATAGATATGTCTGCCTCTGTCTCCCAGGTGCTGGGGTTAAAGGTCTGTGGCCACCACCACCCAGCAACTATGTTTTATTTTGTGTGTGCATGTTTGCCTACACCTTATATATGTGCACCCATGGGTGCCTGGTGTCCATGGAGGTCAGAAGCAGCATCAGAAGATGCATCTGAAGGGATGGCTGAGAGCCATGTGGCTGCTGGCACCGGGACCCGGGTCCTCTGGAAGGGCAGCAGATGCCCTTACTCTCCAGCCCCCAGATTTCTAACTACTGAATTAGCTTACTGGATATGAAATACCGGTTTTCTTTTCTTTTTCTGTTTTTTCTTATTGTAAGGCTAACACAGTTTTTATAGAACACTTGGAAGTGCAGAAAGTGTTGAGCCATCCTGTGCGGAGGTGAGTGCTTCTCCGTCTTCACTGCGGTGTCTATCGGTGTGATAAAGCACCAGCACCAAAAGCAGCTCTGGGAGGAAAGGGTTTAGTCAGCTTACACCTCCACATCTCAGTTTATCATCAAAGCAAGCAGGGCAGGAACTCAAGCAGGGCAGGAACCTGGAGCAGGAGCTGATGCAGGGGCCATGGAGGGGGCTGCTGACTGGCTTGCTCCCCATGGCTGGCTCAGCCAGGGGAAGCCAGGATACCAGCCCAGGGATGGCCCCACCCACCATGGGCTGGGCCTCCCCCATCAGCCATCCATCAAGAAGACCAGCACAGACTGTCAGTCTGGTAGAGGCATTTTCTCAGTGGAGAGTCCTTTTTCTCAGAAGACTCTAGCCTGTGCCGGGTTGATGTGAACTGGCCAGCACATCCTCTATGTACATTTCTTTTTTTTTTTTTTTTTTGTAACTTTTTTTTTTATTAATTACACTTTATTCATTTTGTATCCCCCCATAAGCCCCTCCCTCCTCCCCTCCCGATCCCACCCTCCCTCTCCTTTCTGCATGCATGCCCCTCCCCAAGTCCACTGATAGGGGAGGTTCTCCTCTCCTTTCTGGTCTTAGTCTATCAGTTCTCATGAAAAGTGGCTGCATTGTCCTCTACCGTGGCCTGGTAAGGCTGCTCCCCCCTCAGGGGGAGGTGATCAAAGAGCAGGCCAATCAGATTATGCTAGAGGCAGTCCCTCTTCCCATTACTATGTAACCCACTTGGACACTGAACTGCCATGGGCTACACCTGTGCAGGGGTTCTAGGTTATCTCCATGAATAGTCCTCGGTTGGAGTATGAGTCTCTGGGAAGTTCCC